TGCAGCTACTTCTACCAAACTTTATTTGGTCATCCTTTTTTCTAATCCATTTTAGAAAATGTCCCCACTTTATGTTTTACATGGGTCCAAACCTGAGTTTACAACCTAATTTGCATATTCACACACTTATGATGTCCTTCACCTAGCCTCCTGAAAACATACACAGTTCTTCAAGCCATGATGCCCTACTATTATGAAGCAAGTAACACATCAGGTTATTCTTCACCCCATTCCAACATAAAATGAAGCCATTCACCTTGAAAATATAGGTCATATAAACACTTTTCTTCAACTGCATTCCATACCAGTGATTTAAGCTAACCTGACCTTTTACTGGTGAAGCAGAGCATTTAGCATGCACATGAGGAAGTCTGGTTTGGGATAGTATTATTTCAACAATATGTACAATAAACCCATGCAATAAGTAAAAACATTTATATTTCAGCCCCTTTACTTTTTTGCTCCAAATGAGTTCTTACTTTTAGTGTCCAGTCCTCCTCTGTAGCCTGTCCAGCCTTTCAAAGTAACAGTGTCACCCAAGAGACGCAAGAATCTTTGAAAGCTTTCACTTCCGGTTTCTACATGGGGAAGCGAGAAACGTTACAACAGAAAAGCACATGCAGTAATAGAACACTTATAAAAGATAATCAAAATACAGGAAGAGGTCCTGCTCCCAGAACACAAGGACCAAAATTTCAGCTGAGTTAGTTTCTCCTCATGTCATCCAAGCCTTCTACCATTACAGAAACAGCATCCCAGGCTTGCAGAATAGGCATCATCACATGACATTAAACAGTAAGCTCTTTTGCTAACTCCAAGACATTCCTCAAGTGCACAGAAGAACACAACCATGCTGCAAAAGGTAAGACTGAAAGAACTAGAAACAACAGTGACTTTTTGCAGGTAACAGTCGCCTCCTTCAACTGCTTCCTTTTTCTAAATCCTATGTTGTATAGCGTATTTCCAGAAAAGAAATTTCAGTATCTTCCAAGTTGTAACAGTAGGTTTCCTACAGCAACCTCTTATAGAAATAGAGGATTCTATGCTACAATTTTTCACCCATCATGAACATGAAAACCTAACAAAACTACTGCTCATGTATCCATCAGCTACCTTCTGGCTTCCACGTTGGCACTATCCTACATTTTTTTAAAATTTGGATTAATAAAACAATTAAGAAAAAGATTAGACACTCACCATTGCTGAACATTTCGTCATCTGTAAGCTGCCCATCCTTAGCATAAAGAACTCCAAATTTAAAATTCACAGATCCCTGAGAAATAAACCCAAATATTATATGATAAACAGGCAATCAAACAGAAGACCTAACATAACATTTTTCTCTAAGGACTTTAATATATGTACCTTTATATACATCCTATACAAGGGAACATACATTTCATACCAATTCCATTATGTGCTCAAGTAGAAGATACCTAATACTTTACCTTTGATTACAGATTAAGAATTTTTTTATATATTAAGTTGTGATCTATTAATATATTAAGTTGGTGCTTTAAATGATTTTCGATCTCATGTGTTGCAAAGAAATTCTACATTTTTTTTCTGCAATAAACAATTGATTTCCAAGTTGTGACAAGCATGTCAGTGCAAATATTTCAAATACAAAGCTGTATTCGATGAACAGGTCTGGGAGCTAGAAGTGGCAAGTTTACATTTACCTCTTGCTCTTCAAGAACCAATAAATCCTGTAAACAAAACAATATCTTTAGCACACGGGTATTAAAGTCAACACAAATAAAACTGCAGCATCCTTGTACATTTAAGTTTTGTTTTGAAGTGGCCAGTTCAACTGACAAAAACAGTTTACAAAACTGATACAAAAATAGCATCATGTAACCTCTCTAATCATTATTATCCTGCTACTGAAATAAAGAAACTAGTAGCATTTATGCTTAATGTCTTATTTTTCCAGAAAATAACAAGCAACCAAACAAAAAGAGAAGTCACCTCCTACCTTTTGTATCTCAGGATGAAGAATTTCCCTTGGGCTCTTTTCAAATTTGTCAAGACTCATAGCACTGAAATGCAAATGAAATACTGCTTTATAGAAGGGCAAATATACATTTCAACATTAAACCACTAACTGGTTGCAGACCACAAACCAGTTACAAAAGGGATTGTCCAAAGAGCCCCTCCTACATGGACTGTTTTGTGGAATAGCCATTTCTTTACCACAATACTAATCTCTAAGACTTCCTAAACTTCTTTTGGATTTTAAAAACAGAAATGAGTGTGACCCTGCACTGAGATTAGGTTTAAATTTGCTGTATTTACTTATAAACCACAGAGCTTTATTCCATCACCCTTCACTTTGGCTTTGTACATAACCATTGCAAACATTTTAGGAGGACTCAACCTATTCTATTCTGTAGGCTTTTCTTCTCTCTCTTTCAAAATAATTCAAGGCAAGTCAAATGAAAAATCGAGCAGCTGAGCATCAAATTCACATGCCAAAGATCCATGTATAGAACAGAAAAAAGTGTTTAAATAGGAAGCAAGATCAACTGCCTCAATAAACAGAAATATCTAATTTATAGCATTTTTTTCCTAACTCATGTTTCTGCATTTACTATTATGTTTGCCCATTTTATTTCCCCAGCATCAATTTGTAAAACTGCACAACATGTCACAGAGTGCCAAATGTAGTCTTTATGGGGCACAGTGAACCAACAGTTATGTCAAATCTGATGCACCTTTCCATCTTTGCCTATGCTAGATCACAACACCACCAGGATTTGCCTTAGTTCCTTTTGAAAGTGATTAAAAGGTTCCAATTAATTTGAGACAGTCTGTACCTAGATTTACACTGGCTGTGAACAGGGTAAAATGCCAAAGGAACATCAATCAGGCCTGAGGAAAGGCTCAAGGACCATAAAAGCAAAATAATAGTCAGGGAAGAGATTTTAGTCCAATCCCAAGTGGGCAAAAGGAGACGACATTTATATGGCTGATTGCAGGTAGCACAGACCCTGGGAGAAGATGGAACAAGGTCTGAAACAAGCCTGCATTTTCCTCTGTAAAATACTGGAGCACGACAGGATGGAACACGAGGGTGTTTTCAGCAAGAGAGTTACGACTCTAGCTAACAGAAGACAAAAGTTTCTCCACTCTGGGATGCCTGACCAAAAATGTATACGTGGGTGAGAGAAGAGGGAGAGGCTGGGTTAGAAAGGGACGTTAGGAAGAGGTATTTTAGCCATTGGTGGGCAGACACAGAAGATCAGGTGCTTATGCAGGTACAGCATGCAGTAGTGACAACTAGGAACACTATTCAAGCCAGTGCTGTATAAGGTAGAATAGAGTACTTAGTTCATTTCAATAGAGAAGATGAAAGAGAACTGAAGTGTTTTCAACTCACTGTCTTGACACTCCAAACCAGAACCGCAGCCAAGTTTCTCAGAATTAAGAAGTGAGGCTCAACGGCCTGCTAGCCTCTCTGGCAATTTCAGTGGTCTGGAACCCCTCAGAAATATTGTGAAGCTGTAGGAAAACCCAGATCTGGTGTACTGACTTCACATCACAACATACACCCCGTACCCAGAATTCTCCTCTCATACCAGCACTGGCAGTGTTATCCAATGGACCAGCTTCAATCAAGTAACAGACATTTGCTGATACTCTATACAGATCAAAGGTTTTGAAGACCTGCAGACTGCCTGTTTATCTGGTACAGACTACCTGTTCAGTATATTAAGGCATCTTTTATAAGTTTCTAGAGGAGACAAAATCCTTACGTTGCCAGTGAGGGATCTGAGAAAACACACCACAATTAGGTCATAAAAACTGCAAATTAAATTTGAATGAACACTTCGCAAATAGGTGCTCTGGCATTTCAGCTGATTATAATGTTGAAAGAAATAGAAATGGCATTGGCCTTGCTCACTTTATATTCTCTTCTGCCACAAAAGAGGCAGGACAGAGTATGAGCATGCCCATACAGACTCTGGTAGGGGGAAAGACTTTTCTTGGCTTCACTAACATGGGTGTAACACATCTACAGTGAGACTCACACGGAGACAATCAACTGAAGAAATAATTCTTGGTTTCTTCTTGTTTGTCTCCTCCTGCTAGGGCCACATACCAACTAGTCTGCTGTTCCTTAGCTCTGTTTATTGTCTATCTAATTAAAAAAGGTATTTCTTCTCAACCACTGCAGTTCCACTTAGCACCTGTTTTCCAATTAACTTGAAAATAGTTCCCCCGCTGAAGTAAAAGTGCTGAGAATTTTTTCTCCATTTTAAGTTGTCACTTTGTGTGTTCCAGAACAGGCTTTAAAACCACTTTTCGCTGCCTTCAATGATTAAGATTCGTAAACCTGTTTTTACTGGCTTTATAAATCTATTACGAAAACCATGCAACACAAGCTCCGAATTACAGGAAAAGGCACAGAGACAAATATGTTAACTGAGAACTTATTTGTAAATACATACCTTAATATAGATTTCACTGATAATGTTTTTGTGGGACTATAAGGGAGACATATTTTCTGAGTACCCTATACAGAAAAAAAAGCTAGCAGATATTAAAGGACATACGAACTTCTTCTGTGTATTCAAATAGCAATATTAATAAAAACAATTAAGTGAAAAAATAAAGAACAAAACCATGCTAATTTTACCTAGACTTATGGCACCTGACTATTTTCTTAATGTTGCATAAGAAAATCCTAAAAGCAGTATAAAGTCATTGCCTAAATTGATCGCAGGACATAATCAACTACAATTCAGGCAACATTTCTAAAAATAACAGTGTTGCAGGTAAGAACAATTAAAAGATACTTGGCATCACAGATTTCTGTCAGAAAGCTTAGCATAACGGTACCTATGAAGCTAGTTTAGTTTTATCTACTGTGGTAGAATTTTATGCTCTTATTGTATAAAATAAGAAATATGTATTAAATAGTGAAAATCTGAAGAAAGCAAAAAAGCGTATGATAAATATATCCAAAATAAACAAGCAAGCAAGCAAGCAAACAAACAAATGTCAAAGCAGCGGTTAAATATTTGTTTCTTACTGTTTTTCTCCAAAGTATTGAATGGTATTGAGGAACACGCTGATTATTTTGGTCAGACAGTACAACAGACAGAAAGAAAGGGTTCTTCTCTGCATCTGTACCTACATAATTCTGATGAACTGTTAGGGAAAACCAAGAAGCGTTATTAACTGTAAAGACGACACACACAGCCCCACTCACACATGCACACAGACAGACACGTCTATAAATGTGTAAAATGTATGCATTCGTATGTAAAAACATATACTTATCTACATAAATAACTATGTTTATTTATTAATTTATATACAGATGTGTAAAAAACCCAAGAGATAGGTACAGCCTTCAAGGCCAAAACGGGCTTCAAAACATCCCTTTCTGGTAGCAGGGGTTCCACCGCTTACAGAAACCTGTCCCCTGTCTTCAGGTTAAAAATACATGAAACGAGAACTTGTTTTCTGTACAGGACAGAAAATGCATTAATACTAAATTAGTATCATACTTTAGTGATAGCAATCCAAAGCTACATTGCATTTTCATTCATCAAAACTTTAATCCATTCACAAAAAGGTAACTACCTTTCCCTAAAAAATATTTGAAATACCATCTTGTATGATACTCTGGGTTTTCCAAATGCACGTCTGTTCTGTGCCATGTACCCGGAGTGTAGTCTGTACTCTGAAATAGAATTAAGAGACCGTTAGATCAAATGCTGAGTGAAAAAAATGAGATTATAGGCAAAAGTCAATCAAGAGAGGGTGATTCACCACAAGAGTTTCAGCTGTATACTTTTTTAAAAAGCAAATAATTATTCTGAAGTCAGTTGTTATGCAGCTGAAGTCAAAATTTCTCCCTCTCCTTCCTCCCCGCAATGCCCCCCATTCTCTTTCTAAGCAAGTCTTTTCCTATTGTACTACTGGTAGGGATAATAGCTTAGTATTCCACTAAAAAGTATGTATTTCAATGTGAAATTTTAGGACTAGTGTTTTTTAAACTTAAAAATAAATGAATTAAACAGAATTCTGCCTCCCGGTTTCATTTTCTCAGTTCTTCACAAAATAATCATCAAGGACTCCTCACTGGACCAGAGCACGCTTTGGAAGTTTCTCAGTGTTGTTTCTGGACTGGCTGGTTAAGGTAAATTCCCAAGCATCCCTCAAGTCCTTTTCCACTAAGAATTAACATATGCCAAGGAAAAAACATTCTTCATGGCCATTCATCACCCACTCAGAAAATCTTACTGTGATACAAGCTAATCAGCTTTTGAACTGCATGAAACAGAACAAAGACGACACTGTACAGAACACGGCCCCACAGAGAATCAATGCAGAATAGTTAGATTGCTTTAAACTCTGCACCCAGTGCTGATGCAAGCAGACGATTAGTAATAGTTCACTATTAATAATAGTTCAACACAAGCTTACCAAGACCTTACATGCACTTCAAGAATATGAGGTCTTCTTTCTTTCAATATTAAGATGATATTTACAGCTGAAAGAGTTTTGAAAAGGAAGATAAAAAATGAAGATAAGTAGAAAACTAAGTGTCACTGGAGTGGTTGCAGGGACACACCACGAGTTTAACAGCACAGGAATCTGGAAGGAATGGCTCTCAGGCTCCACTCATCTTCTTTATCTCTTATTTAAAGATAAGCATAGCTGCCAAAAGACAGCTAAGGGTGGGGGGGGTGGGGAGGAAATGAAGCTGTAACTTCAACACACCAAGGAATAAACTTAAAAGCACAAAGGTCAACTTGAACATAGTAGTGTCACCAGGACACCAATACAGAGTGATGAACTAGAGACTGTGAAGCATTATTCAGAGGGTAAGATAGGTATTTTTCTTCTAGTATGATCAGCTGAGAAAAATGTTACCAAAACTAAATGAAATACCAGCTTTTCCCTTAAAAAATTAAATTGTCAAGACTGGATACTCTCGAAAGAAAAGCTAAGCTAAATTTGGGTAGGAAAAAAACCCTACCATCTCCCTCCTCTTAGATTCTTACATTCCCATATTTTTACATTTTTCAAGTCCTCTTCCTTAGTAATTGACTGCAAATACATCTTTCAGCGGTAAAGAATAACTGGAGCTGAATTATTTTTTCAGCTTTCTGAGTATCTTTAGCCACTTACCTCACCAGAGGAGCCGTTTTCCACGCGGAAACGTCCAGCTCTTTGAATGGCTCCATCAGCATCACTAGATATAAGCTATAAGAGAGTTTAAGATACAGGTTCTAGTTCCAAAAATAGCCATATGATCAGCAATCAAAGCTTACTGCGGTTTGTTCTTCTCCCAGGCATCATATGACTATCCAACAGAGAAGGGATCAGCATAGCTATCACTAACTTGACTGCGGATTTTGAACGACCCAATTATAACTCTAAGGAGGCATAAGCAGGAAAGCCATTCACTCTTTCGGTAGATCCCAGTACTAATCCAAAACTCTCCCATCTCAGATTTCGGCTGTAACCACACACAGAATGCCTAGAGGGACTCGTCCGCTTTCTAGAAATTGATCTTGAGGCTTGCTCCTTTCAAAACAACGGGTCTTACAGACATGATGATTCTTGTTCTCTCAGCCTTGCTAAGCCTAAAATTCTACTTGCTGGCAGTATTACTGGGACTAGGAGTCTTTTACTGCATTTTATTTATTAATGTTTTCAGGAGACAGACAGCAGCAAGAATCTCCAAACATAATACTCAGTGAAGATACTGAACAACATAAGGTACAGGAGATGTGCTGGTCTGCTTCCAGCATTAATATCAGAAAATACAGCTTGTTTCCAGCTGAAGACTTCAAGAGTTTCATAAATACTCTGGAAAGACTGCTTGGTCTTTTTATAAGGGTGTCCAGGGATTCCCAGAACACTGAAACTCTCTTTGTTGTTAAAAAAGCTCTGAGGCTGTGTCAGAAAAACTAACATGGCAAAAACTTCAACACATCCTGGTGCCTGTATAATCTGTAAGAGAAATTATATGGACATCTTACACCAGCAGGAAAGACACAGGAAAAATGTTTAGGGCAGAGACAAAATAACTGTGTTGTAATAAATAAAAGGTGAAAATAATTGAGCAATTGAGATGCTGCTGTGGAAAATACTAAGCAAGAAAGGTTCAATATTAAACATTTAGAAATCTGAAAGGGCAACAAGCAGCTTTATACGTTTGTACTCCAAAAGATAGAGACACACACTTTTATAAAATACTAGCAGAATTTTAAGAAAACCAATCAAAAGACCAAGACCATTTGTGTGAGCTTACTGTGAATTTATAATTACAAATAAATGTTTCTTTTCCAGCAAAAGAATCTAAGCACTAGTAATGAAAGAGCCTCTCAGCAGAAAGCAGTTCACTTGCTTTATTGATTAAAACAGCACATCTAATACGTGGAATGTATGGAAAGAAAAGAAAGATACCTGGTGTTCTTGCAATGCAACTTCCAGCAACTAGGCCATAAATTTACACCCAATTTACATATATATTAATAAATATACTATACAATCAGCTAGTAGAAAATTAGAGATTTTTTTTCCCCACAGTAAGGGAGCTGGAGTTCAGTTTCTTTACCCCTCCCCAATTCTGTTTTCCTATAGTAAGTTTATTATGTAATTTCATTATGGCCTTGTCTACAGAGTGACATTATTTTAACTGCTGACATACTGCTATTTTCACAGTGAAGAAGAAATTTATACATGAGAAAAATGAAGTCCCAACTTTATCTTTGAATTTGAAGAAAATGCAGAATAACAGACAGATTTTAGGAAACAGTTTTCAATATTCTTATTCTGACTAGCTCTTCTAATTTTAAACCCTCTCCCACTACTCTGAGACAGAAACACATAAAATCATATACACACATATATATACACATATATGAGCACACACAGAGTTTTTAACTCACATAATTGCAAGTACTTAATCAAATACTACCCTAATATTTTGCAATCCTCAGCTTATAAGAGGAAAAAGGGCTCAATTTCCACTTGGGGATAAACACGATATATAACATTCCCTGTCCCATTATGATGAAATATTCACAAATAAGGTAGTAAAAAGATTTCCCAGCACAGGTCTAATATACCTATTCTGAAGCCTCTTTTTATTACCCTATAAATTCCAAGTCCAGCTTAGAAAGCACAATTTCCAAACCAGACGCAACTTTTTACCTGGAAATGAAAAGAATTTGAGCTCTGCATTACAAGTTGCTAAAATCAAAGGACAGGCTATGTAAACTTACAAGCTCCACAGATCCGTAATGCTTTCTGCTAAACTCTCCACGTCTGCAACCCAGATCTTCAGAGACAGAGCTGGAATAGAAACGCTTCATCAGTGTACACAAGTCAACCAGCCTGAGATCTCCTGCAACTATATTCCCTGGCATTAACAAATGTCATTTCTGCTGAACAAGGTTCGCAGTGCATAAACTCATTACTGCAGCGAACGCTGCTTAAAACGTGCACAATCTCTAGCAGCCATTGCAGTCTCAGTTTCATTTTACCCCCAAAGGAAAAGAAATGTCTGTGTCCCGACTGGAAGCAAAAGATATGACCCAATTAAATATTTAGTTATGGTGTGATCAGAGTTCCAAAGTAGGTGGTGGCTTATAACCATGTTTGAAACCTGCATTTAATCTAAGGGAAGAAAAACCTACAGTAAATTTAAGGCCTCAAATAGGACCACTGCACTACACTCAATAAGCTGACACTTAGTATGTTGCTACTTTTTCAGAGTCTTTTTTTTAGCCTACACACAAAGAGAAACTAAACAATCACTTTAACTCAAAAGCGTAAGGAAAGAACAGCATTTCATAGGTTCCCCCATCAACCTTAACAAAGATAAAATTGTGAAGCAAGCAAAAGTAATCCTAGAATGCAAAGTTCAAAAATCTACATACATTATCACATACAATCTCACACCATCATGTCACATTAAGGACATCACTAAATGCTTCATGAGGTCAAAACAGACAGCAAACACCTCCTCTAACTATAAACACTAAGCCTCCTGCCTTTGCAATGGGGATACGCGTGCTACAAATGCAAGCTAAATAAAGATTTAGGTGCAAATTTAACATAACCCGTGATTACTCAGCCTGTACCAGGGCTAGCAGCTCAATCCCTCCATCACATTCCAAATTTACAGTTCACTTTTCAGTCAGCAGTAACAAAAATAAAATAATTTAATTTTAATGGAAAAAAATCCGAACAAAATCAGCAAGAAACCCTCCATCCAGCAATAAGAGATCAAGTTTTCTGACAATTATCAGTGCTGTAAACTGCAATGTTACATCAATAAACAGAAGAAATATCTAAATTTTAATACAACAGTCTCATACGTGCTTCCTGACCGTAGGAGATATTGTAACACTGGGCTCTGAAACATTTTAATTTTTAGACCGCTTTTCTATTTGGATTTGTATGTATAAGTACTTAAAATTTATTAAACATTATTAATATTTCTGAGTTCTGTCCACTTGGATTCCAATGTCTTTACCCAAAGAGAAGCAATGCAAACAACATGTATCTAATAAAACTTTAAAACTCCCCAAATAATTCTAGTATTTGCTTCCAGTAGGTAAATTATGCAGGAAGGGTAAGAACATGACAATAATAGTAATTTCGAACGACCCACACCCTGAAGCAGGAACATTAGCTGCTGCAACAACAGAGCTGCCTTTCTAACTTCAGGTGAATAAAACCTTTGGATGACACTATTGCTTCTGGTAACGTATACCCTGTACTTTCTCGGTCAGTTGCCTTTCAGCCAAATCCCTTGTGGCACAGACACAGCTATACTGTTTCCAAAGCAAAAAAGACCACATACGGCTGGTTTGACCCCTGAAGGCAGTGGAGCCAGTCTGTGTTCTGACACCTATGGGGGCACACACATACATGCCACAGCAGCAGTCATGTAAGTGACTTGAGGAAAACTACCTACAAGAACTGAGGTTAATCCATATTAGATGCAATTTTTACAAGCTCCAAAACAATCACTCGGTTGGAAGTATTATCACCTAAACACAAATACAACTATTTAAGCTTTCACCTTGTGGTTGCCTGCACAACGAACTTATGTTTGACTGGGGACAGTTATTAATCTTAACCTTCCTGAGAATCGGTGCGAAGTACCTTTCAGAGTAAGTTCCCATACCAGGAATCTGCAGGGCAGAGACGGAAAAAGTCTGTGACATAAGAAGAAATAGGGCTTGGGTCATGATCTAAGAGCCCTTGTCATCAAAGAAGCTACAGTTTTACCTTACTTATGATGTGCTGTTTGTAGACATAAGTATTTCAGAGTCTTACCATACTTGAGGTTAAAAAAAACCAAAACAAAACAAAAAACCAACCCCACCGTTCAGCTTGTACTCTAATTGAAACTAACTCCTCCTTTTTCCCCCCACAGCAGGACATAAACTACACGAAGACAAAATTAGAAGAGAAACCGTATTAAAAACTTAGAGATACATAAACTACAAATGAGCCACAAGAAGAGTCAGTTCCAGTGAGTAAGGCTACTTCAGGTTGCTACCTGATAAAAGGATGCCCCAAAGATGGAATTTTCAACGTTCGCAGCAGTACATCTCTATCTAATCTTTTCACATTTGTGACACTGAGAATTTTCAGCGCCTTATCAACTGGACAAAGATGAAATAAACTTAATGGAGACCAACAGAAGAAACTGTTCCTAAGTCAAGATGTCTGAGCATCCAGAAGTAGATTCAAATCTTAAGCAATCACACACCACGAGGACTTCATGTCCATATATTTTTATACACCTACCACTACTGCTGTTGGACCTTTGAGTGAGCCTTGCCATGCTATACTGCCACGTTGTTGCACGGAAGTTGTAGCACGCCACAACACTTACAGCTCCGTCTGAGCCTGCAACACAGAGAAGATGGCCCACAGCAGTGAAAAGATGGAATGTACCTGTGAGCTGCATATGTCAAGTAATTTCTCTTATAGTTACCTTCTACTTTTATGTGGTTTTGCAGCAATAACTGACATGCTCATTCAAAGCATAGTTGGACAGTCTCTTTTCAACCTACTCCTACATGCCATTTACAGGGAAATCATGCATGTTTCACATTTTATTGCAAACGTATCTTCTTCTTCCATCTTTCCATCATCGGAAGGGAAGTATAAAAACCCCCATTACTCCAGTCTGATTGGCAGTAAAAATTTGAAGCTATTACTCATGAGTGCTCATCTTTTCTTTCAGAAGGAAACACAACATAAATCTGGCTAACAAATTTTCTCTGCAGTTACTAAGACTGAGTAACAAAAGAAAAGTATTTCAAGATTAAAATCTATACAGACAAAACCAAAGACATTGTATTTTCTTTTCCCTTCCAAATAGAACGAATAGTTCCCAAGTTTAATTTTGTACTGACTGAAAGTGATCCTTTGCCTCTTGAAGATTCTTGCAGAGAGTCTGGAAAGTTCAGATAAAACCTAAAAAAGTAATAATGCATCGAATAAAATTTTTAGAGTTCCTGCGTTTTGAGAGACACATGAAATTTGGCAGATGCTTCATGAACAAAGGGAATGCCTCATTTACAATATATTTTAAGGCATTGTGGCGTTTCTGTTATTTTTTTAATTTTACAGAAAAATCAGGTAATCGTGGTAGGGCTAGCATTTTCTTTCTGTGCTACTTTTGTTCTACAAAATTCATTTTTGTGGTTAGGCATGCTAGTTGCCTTAGAAACCACTGTAAAAGCAATTCCAATCAATGAACATGTCACCATCAGTACTGGTGGCAGAATCTTTGGGAAACGGCAGTCGAGATTTTGGTGTCACTGAGCTCTGAAATTCAGTCTTTGATCAAATGAAGAAATGTATATAAGATGACAATTCAAGGAGCGGGTAAAAAGAAAGAAATAAATAAAAATTCAACAACTGTCACTAGCACAACAAATCTTTTCAAGCCTTGGGAAAGCCAGGTCACCGTTTTGTGTGTCTGACATCTGGACAATTCCAAACACAAGTATAATCAAATTAGAAAATCACCACAAAGAGCACCTGGCCTACTGTGCTTTGAATGGAACTATCTCCACCTGTATAATTTTCAGAGAATTTCCTCAGTCATGCGATAGCTCCACAAAACAGGAGAAAAAAGTAAGCTGAGGTTCATAAAACTGAACTACTTTCTGCCTTGTGGCAAAGTTAATCTCAAAATGCATGAACCTAGAGGAAAAAGCCACCTCGTGAATTACCTGCATGATAAACCCAGGCAGTTATGAAGGCATTTTAGAACTACCTGCATATATACAACTTAAGTCCTATACCTTAATCTGGTGATATTTCAACTGAATGAAAGTCAAACTCTATCAGGAAAAGCATGCTGAGATCTGGGCATATTAATGCTGCAGAGATAAAGTCAGTAGCTAACAAAAAGCTTTAAAAATAAAATATGAAAAGGGTATTCAAAACCAAACACTGCATAAAATGGATCTAGGTATACAACACATGTATGCACTACTGTAGCAAAATATGGGCTATTGAGTTAGAGGAGGACGTGCCATGAGAGTCATTAATTTAGAGATACAAAAAGGCAAAATGTGTATTAAAGCATATGCCTGGCAGCCCATGTAAAGAGCCTGGAAACTAATGTCCAAAACATGGTGGCAGAATTAAGAGCAGACCAGATACACTGGTCTCATCTTAATTAAGATTAAGATCATTCATTAAGATACATCCCAACAACGACTCCTGCAATAACATTTCCCAACCAGAGAGTCACTAAAAAATCAAAAAAAAAAAAAAAAAAAAAAGAGGTGCAGAGTTAAGTTTGCGTTCTACCATACAAATCTTTGGGTTTTATCCTCAACATGGAAAAGATGATTGTCCTCCATACCCTGTCAGGTGTACTCAGCATCGCTTCCAGCAAACTTCTGGAGGCCAATTAGCCCAAAGAAAGGTTCACCATAAAGACTCCCTGATGTTCACAAGAGAGAAGATGTTGAAAGAGACCATCTGATCCACAAACTTACGGTTTACCTGCAGTTGCAAATACAAAGCTCTTCAGAACTGGTGTGATGTCTACAAAACTATATTCTCTATCACATGAATATATCCTTTATTCCAGAATCTCCAAAAAAACCCTTTTGATCCAAACAATCCCGCTATGGTTATTAAACTTTTTTTTTTTTTTTTTTTGCATTTTCATAATGACAAGCCCCAAAATAGCTGCCTTTAGGAGGCACTCGACATACTCCAACAAGTCACATTTCATCAGCTTTGCTGGCCACAGAATGACAGAGAGCAGGGCTGTTTCACAGTTCCATTACTGCATGACAGACACGATGATAAGCATGCAGACAGT